TTGGGTCAGTCATTCACTGAGCCTGCTCTACTGCACAGGGATGTGGGGAAAATAAAATGAAAGAACAGAACCCTGGGATCCTTGGAGGTAGGTGGGATGAAATATAATTAACCTATTGCAGAATTCTGCCCCACAGACAACTTGCGTATAAGTTCCTAGTTACCATTTACCTCCCCCCCCAAAAAAAGAATCAAACACAAAATGCATGCATATGGAAATCAGATCAAATACTTTTATTTCTTAAGCTCCAGTGTTTTAACTGTAGCAGCATTTCTCAGAAAAACAACTTTCTCCTCTGTTAAATATATACATATACATATACATATATGTAGAAACATTCTTTTAAAAAGTAGACATTGGTAAATACATAAAAAGGCAATTTTAGAAGAACAAAATATCAATTTTTAAAAATCCACCCTTGTTTTTTAAAAAATAAATGTGCGTTTATAGCATGCAAAGCAGCAATGTGTGCACTTGTCTGCTTTGTTTCTTAAAGACCTTTCAAAAAACTTTAGCTGCTAGAATATTTTAATTTCTTAAGCCAAGGCATGGCATAGCTGAAGATGGCTTTAGAGCAGAGGTGGGGAGCGAGTCCCCCCCGATGTCATCGGGCTCCCCATGCCCATCAGCCTCCGCCACCATTAGCAATGGTCAGGAATGGTGGCAGGTGTGGTCTGTAATCCCTGGAGAACACATTTCCTACTCTGCTTTAGAAGGGGAGCTCCAGTCCCAGCCACTGGTCATTAATGAGTATTCAGATTTTTTGTTTTTTAAAAAATGAAGACTGCACTCAGAGACCATCCCACTGGTGGCTGTCAGAATCTTCCCCAGCTGCTTCACAGATTAGCTTCTGAGAAGCCAGCCTAGTTCATGGTGACATCCTAGCCTCTGATCTAGATTGCAAGGAAATCAAATAGGCATCAGGGGAGACCAGTCTTTAAATGTGAGCCTGTCCCCAATTGTGTGCACAGTGGTTGGTGAGGTTTAAAGCAGAAAACATGATGGCGAGGCTCCTGAACCCAGCCCTCCCCATTCTACCCCTAAAACACACACACACCTTCTTACAGAATTACAATCTGGCTAGGGGAAATGACCTCAGGAGCCAGACTGCTGGTGTGCACATGTAGGGCTGAAACATAGCCAGAAGGAGGGTCCAGCAAGCCCCCACCCCCTGCCTCTTTTGTAGTTTGAATCATAGTCCCAATAGAATAAAAAAATACCAGCCAGCAGAGCTTTGGGCTGGGTCAGTTATATTTGGTTGGTTTTAGACTGTTACTGTCCTTAAGGTCACGGCATGTATTAACGGCAGCAGCATAAGGGACACGGCTACAGATCTCCCTCCCACAGCAACTTCTGTCTTCTCATGCATGCATTCTGCAACATTAGCAAGCAGAGATGCTGCTGTGAACTGGATCCCTGATTGGCTAGCTTGTGCTGCTTCATTTTCAGTCACACCATTAGTCAATGTGTGAGCTGATTCCAAACTGCTTTTCCCAGAGGCCTATTTTCCAACTCGACTAGGAGATTGCTTCACACTTTCTTGTGATAGAGGGTTTTGTGCATAAGTTTTTTAAAAATGTGCAGTGATTAAGCAGGCATGTGGCATAACCAACATGCTACAGACCCTTGCAGCATGTTCATGTAGTGGAAGACTTGTGGTTATCCACCGGTCGCTTGGGCAAAAGCAACTCTGATCTACGAATAGAAAGTTGGGTCCAGTTCAAAAAAAGCTATGTCACTAGTTCTGTGCACAGTTCATTCAAGGCAAGCCCTGTCCAAACATACACATCCAACAAACTTCTGAAAAGGAGGGGTTTTCAAAAGGCATTGAGCAGGGGGGGGGGGAGGGTGCATCCCTACTATTCAAAGGGGGAAACCATTGGCCATGAATACTTGCCCTAGTCCTGAGCATTCTGCTGAACCCATCTCTGGGCTGTAGCACTTCAGAATGTAAGAGGGAGGTTTACATTAGATATCAAGTGTGATGGAACCTCCAGATGTTGTTGCACTAAAACTCCCATAATTCCAATCTAGAATGGGCACTGGTAGAGTTAACAGGAGAGGGAATCCAATATCTGGAGGGCCACAGGTTCCCCACCCGTGTCCGCACAAAAATTCTATTTGCAAAGAAATCTAGACTGTACGGGAACCTAGCCTAGTCTTCTGCCTGACGTGCTGGGACAGATGTAGAAATCAATTTTAAATTTCAGTCCTCAAGACCAAGGTTATTGCTAAACTCTCCTGTGGTTTATATGACACTCTGGAATGTCTTTTCCCTCTACATTCCAAAGGCTGAAAATGCTACATACACACAAGAGAATGAAAAATATTCCTATTGATTTTGCAACCTAATGTCCATTTTCAGTTGAACAAACAGGCAACTAGCCATGATGCACACATATTCGTCTTCCAGCAGTAGTTGCTATAATAATTCTGTTTTCCCCAGTCAAGTAATGCACTAACCCTGCTTTTAGCCAACGTGCCTCTAGCTCTCATACATCTCCAAAAAGGCAACAGCAAAGATTATTCCCCAACAATAGGAAGTTACTCAAGGGCCAAGTTACTAAATGTATGCTGGGACTGCTGTCTGCATTTATATCCAAGTGATCAGTGCCTCTATTCAGAAGGGCCATGAAAATCAGCATGCAAGTATATTGCAGAAGGACATTTGACTGAAGGTATTGAGTGGTACCTTTAAAAAAATCCTTCAGCTTCCTGGAAATCATTCAGTGAGAAGTATTATCAGAATGGTTTTAAAACTTAGTGCAAGCTTGACAACAAATTCAATATTTACTCAGGGTAGAAGCATTGTAGTTAATGGACATGTTTAGCTGAGGTTCATTAATTTCACTGGTCTACTCTGTGTAGGATACAGTGGAATACCACCCAAAACCTCCTTCTGCTCCAAACATATATGCTAAGAAAGCCGAGAAGCAAGAGACACAGGATTTTGAAAATGCTGAAGTAGTGATTCAAGAGGTGTTTTACAAATTCAACTGTGCACCTCTACAATCAATATTTGACCACCAGGAACAGAATCCTCTTTTTGCCAGGGAATACAAACACACACACATGGAAGAGAGAAACCCACCTAAATCAAAATAAATGCCACAGCAGGGTGAGGGGAGATCAAAATTTGTCTGATATAACCATCAAATGGCAGGAGGCTTTGGGACTGGTTATCCCTCCACAGGAAGACCTTAGGACACCTCAGAATGCAGATGATCACCCCTGTCAAGTAAAGGGCAATTCCAGGTGTAGTGCTTTGGCCAGTGACCACGGCAAGTTCTAGGGCAGACCTCCGTGTTGCGCCCAACCCTGAAGACGACACTTGTGTCAGTTACTCCTCGACTGCCCATCCCAGTAGGAACACTTCCCCCAAGTGGTGAGATCAGGCGCCTGTGCTGTGTGGACATACAATCACAACATGGTAAAGGTGACCCTACCGACCATGTCAGGATGAGGTGGGGAGATGGAGGGGAAATTTACATGGGGTGCTCTTTCAAGAACCAGCCCCATATCACACACACCCTGTAGTTCTGCCACAAATATATTATAAACAGCGCTTTTTTGTGACAGTGCGGACCAGTATGGAGTACCATCACCTTTCCCCCCCTGCCCCTGGCAGCCATTTTGTACTGAAACTCATGATTCTTTTTAAAGATATGAGTACCGGCACCTTTTGGGTCTTTTCTGCAATCCCCCCCCCCCCCGCAAAAAAGCACTGATTAGAAAGATTTGGGATGGCGGCAAAAGGTAGCAGCCAATATGCAAATGAGCAGCAGCAGCAGCTCTAAGCCCACCATAACCCACCAAAGAAAGAAAAGGAACCTCTGAGGTATTTTTGTTTCACTTCTCGCTGCTGAGGAAGCAGACTGGAATAATCTGAAGCAGTTGTGCATTAGTATTTATAATTAAAGTGATCAGGTTGAGCTTTGGCACTTTCAAGCACAAAAGCAACCATCTACAACCCATAGACTTGGAGCAGCCTTCATCCTCATGGCGCCCACCAGGTGTATGGAACTACCATTCCCATCAGGCTGATCTGCAGCCAGTCCACCAAGTGCATTGAGATTACTACGAAATAGCTGCTACTTATAAATAACTATTATTTATAAAGTGTATAGACCCAGGCACTTTGGAAGAGGCAGTCCGTTACAATTATTTCTTATATATTGTTCAGTTAAATCCCAACAGGATTTCTTCTTCTTTTTTAAGTACCGTATTGACCCAAATATAAGCCGCACCTGCAAATAAGCCACACCTTTAAAATTCAAAGAGGGAAAAGAAGAAAAGACAATACCTGAATATAAGCCGCTCCCTTAAAGTTCTGCAGGCACTCACACCTGTAAATGGCAAATGTAGAAGAAAATCCTACGGGTACCATTCCCCCACGCTCCAGGGATGCTTCCTGGCGGGGGGGGGGGAGCTGTGCTGCTTTGCCGGCGGCCTCCCCCCCTTCCCCCTGATGGCTTGGGGGAGGCTTGGGAGCCACAGTCGGGATGGGTACCATTGTCCCACACCCCCGACAGCCCTCGTGGTGGCATCTGGGGGGGGGGGCGCTCTCTCCATTCCGGCCCTGTAAGGCAAGGCAGGGCCACGGACCTAGCACAGCTGTTTCAGCAGCGATGTCGTAAAAGCCAACTTCTATAAGGTTGCAAATTTAAGCCACACTTTCTTTTCATGGTTGGAATTTGGGGGGGAAGTGTGGCTTATATTTGGGCCAATACGGTATCTTGCTTTAGAATTGTACATTTTCCACATACAGGGATGTGTAGCACACAACAAACGGGACCATCCAGTTGCAATCCTTATTTGCTAACTATAAATATAAAATAAAAATACAGTGGTACCTCGAGTTACAAACACCTCAGGTTACAAATGCTTCACGTTATAAACTCCGCTCACCTGGAAGAGTTACCTCGAGTTGAGAACTTTGCCCCAGGATGAGAATGGAAATCGTGTGCCAGCGATGCAGCGGCAGCAAGAGGCCTCATTAGCAAAAGCACGCCTCTAGTTAAGAACAGTTTCAGGTCAAGAACGGACCTCTGGAACGAATTAAGTTCGTAACTAGAGGTACCACTGTAAACTGTACTCTTTGTATGGACACAACATTTCTGGGACAGCACAAAAGTTGTACATGTTCATAAAAAAGCAGACAGAAACCTATCACAAGTGTTAGAACTAACTCTACATACCTTCATTTGTACAGGCCAGAGGGCCAAGAGCAACATCACTGCTCTCTCTTTGGGGGGGAGTGAAGTTTGTCTCTGCCTCTGCAAAGGCTTTTTGGTTCAGAGGCATTATAACTGTACCGCAACAAAGAGCTGCCTTTTCTTGTCAGTCTTTTTTGCCTTTTCCTTTTTTAAAAAACAAAAACTAAGCAGTGATTCAAGGCAAGTTTTCCTAAGGAAATGTAAACTGATGCTCCACCCCTCAGCACACTTGCAGGAGTGAAATTTGCAAACACACACACACACAACTGCAAAAGGTCTTGGACAGGCACAGGGGTCTTAGTGGGGAAAAGTCACACAACACCTGTTCAGAAACGGAGATGCAATTTGGTTTTAAAGTACCATCAGAGGCATTTAAGGGTTTGCTAAAACACAGTTTTATGCAAAACTACGTACTCTTGGTCTTCTACTCGGTATTGGTCAAAACTGGTTGAAGTTTCCAGAAGTGCCTACCGATCCCAATACATTAAAAGGGAAATGACTCACATAAGGCAGCTTCTTAAGATTTCAAAGTCCTATGCCTCTTTGAGTATCCAGTTTCAGGAGAATTTAAGGAGCTGTTTAAGGATTGAGAATTCTTTACAACTATGAGACTGGACAAGAAGCGATGATCAAAGCCATTCTGGTTTAAGAGGGGATAAAGCTATTCGCAATTTTTCAAAATAGTGCAGAAGCCTCTTCTGACACACACACAAAAAGAACTCTTGTTCAGCTGCTAAACTCTTAAAAGCCACCCAACTCACTGATATAGAAAAATAAAAGGATAAACATTATCCATCAATTTATATTGCGTAATTTCTCTATATAGAACTTTGTTCAGCTAAAAGGCTCAATCTTTTACATTTTCAAAGAGGGGAAAGTCCAATCCACAAGAACTCTCTTTGCCCCTCAGGGGCAGCCCTCAAAAGCACTTCAAGGCAGAAACAAGTAGGCCTTGTAGAACCCTGTACAAACTGGTCACAGTTATAAACTCCAAATAAAACTATAAATACTTGTTCAAGCCAAGCAATCCTTGCACAATATGGTTAAACAAAAGCAGGGGGGAAGGTACAGAATCAATTTCTCTAGCATCTAAGAAAAACACGCACACACACACACACACACAGCAGACCCCAGGGGTGAATCTACCAGAAACCTTTACACAGTCACATAAAGAGCCCTGGAGAATTCCAGCACCCCCACAAAGGGACTCTGCCGTCTCAGAGGTTCTGGGTTGCAGCTGCAGCACCAGGACATGTCAGCACGGCGTCCCTTTCTCCAGTTCACGCTTTGTAAGTGCATATTTGAAGAATTCATACACAGACCAGGAAATGGCAGTTGAAGGCATCTGGTATATCACCCTTGCCTGGACCCCCTTAAAATACCCAGCGATGCCCCCCAGCTGGTACACTGTCCTAAAGGCATTGGCCATTCCGGAGAGATGTCCGCTAACGTTCACAGAACTCAACACCACGTTCTCTTGCGTGTTGAGGAGAGTCTTGCAGACGTCCAGGGGAGTCGTGGCGGCGGCCGCCACAGCCCCAGCCACAGCCCCCGATATGATGTGCGTGCTTGGATTGTACTGCCGGCAGGGGTTGATCTGCTCCTGCATGAACTCATAGGTCATGAAGTGAATGGCTTGGAAGGGGATGTTCATGGTGAGTTGGGTGCTGTAGCTCCGGTAGAAAGCGCCCATCCCCTCCGTCCGATGCACCGTCCGGATGCACTCCAGGACCGTCTTGTACGGAGAGTTGTACATCTGCATGCGCTGCTTCACCACTGGCTCCGTGGGCAGGAAGGCACAGCGAGGTGTTGGGTGTGCCCCGAGCAGGGAAACAAAAGAAATAAGAAAAGCCAAATTAGATGCAATTCACAGATTTCGGAGCTGTGTACCAACCAATAACAGAATAGTAAATAACGGCCATTGTAATTTCCCAGATAATATATTTGAGTAAGACAAAGTCCCAAAAGTTTAATTTCAGAATTACAAGATCTGAAAAGTTTAAAATTTTAAACTTACAAAGCCAAATACACTAAAGTATCTGGCAGATGAAATATCAATCACCCAATCAACTGTCAAGTTTAAAGTAGCTTTCATTTGGATTCTCAAGGCTGTCAAGCAGGGACATTTGTCAGTCACAAAAGTGTCTGTATCACACAGAGGCTACATTCAGACCTTACCTTTACAGCACTATGGTGCCACCTTAAACAGTCATGGCTTCCCCCAACAAATGCTGGATGCTGAAAGCTTTTAGGAGACCCCTATTCCCCTCACAGAGCTATCATTTCCAGCATGGTTTGGCAATCAATGCCTCTTCACAGGGAAATCTGAGAACTGTACCTCTGTGAGGGTAATAGGGACTATCTACTGGCACCCTTAACAAACTACAGCTCCCAGAATTCTTGGATGGAAGCCGTGGCTGTTTAAAGTGGCATCTTAAAAGCATGGCATGATGGGAGCTGGAGTTGCCCTTTCTGAAACAAAACTAATGTAATTGCTCTGAATGTACCGTTTCAATTCCCAGGTGACCCTCACAGAAATTTGGGAGTCATTTGCCAGTCAGCACTGACAATGCTGAGCTGCCTGTGTCTCCCAATCTGCAACATTTCATTTACTTATTTGACTCCATTTGTGAATAGTTTCCCATAAAAACTCTTGGGGGGAGGGAATCAACAATAAAAGAATTTAAAATGAAAAAACAATTCAAAGTCTTATGGGTTCCTGGCAATTTTAATTCTCCTTTCCTCCTCTCAACACCACGGAACCATTGATAGGCGAGGGCATTACCTTCAGCTGGATTCATAACACCATCATGGAGTAGGGTAGCTAAGCTCCCAGCCATTCCTGCACAAACATACAAAAAAGACAAGTCCCCTTTCACAAATCAATCCTCAACAATCCACCTTTCCTTTTGCACCCAAATGAGCTCTTGAATGCACAATACATAATCACCCTTATTTATGCAACATCATCAGGAATCACATTGCTCCTTTTAAAAAGAAAAAGAAAAACAGCCCCCACAACACTTTTATATAAAAAAGCCACAGTAGAAATATGAAAGCATTCACCATGTGAAAAGGATCTAGTACATGTGAAAAGGATCTAGGAGTCTTGGTTGACCACAAACTTGACATGAGCCAACAGTGTGACGCGGCAGCTAAAAAAGCCAATGCAATTCTGGGCTGCATCAATAGGAGTATAGCATCTAGATCAAGGGAAGTAATAGTGCCACTGTATTCTGCTCTGGCCAGACCTCACCTGGAGTACTGTGTCCAGTTCTGGGCACCACAGTTCAAGAAGGACACTGACAAACTGGAACGTGTCCAGAGGAGGGGAACCAAAACGGTCAAAGGCCTGGAAACGATGCCTTATGAGGAACGGCTAAGGGAGCTGGGCATGTTTAGCCTGGAGAAGAGGAGGTTAAGGGGTGATATGATAGCCATGTTCAAATATATAAAAGGATGTCACATAGAGGAGGGAGAAAGGTTGTTTTCTGCTGCTCCAGAGAAGCGGACACGGAGCAATGGATCCAAACTACAAGAAAGAAGATTCCGCCTAAACATTAGGAAGAACTTCCTGACAGTAAGAGCTGTTCGACAGTGGAATTTGCTGCCAAGGAGTGTGGTGAAGTCTCCTTCTTTGGAGGTCTTTAAGCAGAGGCTTGACAACCATATGTCAGGAGTGCTCTGATGGTGTTTCCTGCTTGGCAGGGGGTTGGACTCGATGGCCCTGGTGGTCTATTCCAACTCTATGATTCTATGATTTGCAAAAATACAGCGCCATCTGGGGGAAGAATGGTTCTTCTTTGGCAGTTCCTTTCCTTCTTATGAAATTCATCTGTGCAGTTGTGCAAAGCAAGTCTGTATTTTAAACTGTCTACCTGCCCATACTGACTTCCAGGTATACCTACCTATGACGAAGTTGTTATGGAAAAGTCAGCGGGGGGGGGGGGGGCAACCGCAATCTCAAACCAAAACACAAGAAAATAAACCTCAAAAGATACTCAACAAAAGACGCATTCTTATTTGCACTCCCAATTTGCATTTCTGAATTAAGTCTTAACATATTTCAAATATGATACTGGATACGTAAAACATAACATCATTAAGATTATGTACAGCCATGACATGCTATTTAAAACAGTTTTTTAAAGTGTCCCAATTGGATCAACTGAAAATAAATAAATCCTATTTGTTTCAGAACACCGTTGTTTTTTAAGTTTTTAATCCCTCCATTATTCTTCTGTGGCTATGGCATCATGTTGTCATTCTGAGCAAGGGAAATATGCTAAGTGCTGCTCCCTTCAAACAATCCTTAAATGTGAGGGGGAAGGCAGGGGACAAATAAATATATAATTATAATGTTGGGGTATGAGAGAGATTCCCCAGCACCGAGAAGACACAGTTCATTAGGTTGTGCTTGGCCACACAGCCAGCAATAGCTGACATGCCCCTGAAATGGCCATGGGCAACTTTGTACCTGACGAGACACTGGGTTGCATCCAAAGAGGGTCCTGTTCAGAGTAGACCTACTGAAATTAATACACAAAGCTGACTTGGGTCCATTCATTTTAATGGGCCTACTCTAAGTTAGTTGAAAGCGACCCACTGTCTGCATCTGCTACATGCACTGGATTCTTTAAAACTGATTTCTGCATATTAAATAATATTTCAGAGGCACACTTTATATATATATATATATTTAAAAAACACCCTGCATAATACTATACACATTGACTTTGTACATTCAGGGGTTGTATCTTAGATCACCAAGCCTGAAATACTGACTGCATTTAAATTTGATGTTTTTCTACATTAATCCATTAATCTGTGGTTACAAAGCCAGGCAGGTGCAAATTCAGAGAGTGAAGAATTTATTCCATGGGTTATTACTATAGTTCCCTTCAAGAGTGGGAATATCAGCACAGGCCCCAAATAAAACCTCCCAAAAGAAAGGTCAGATACCTCTAGATACTGGGGGACAAAGCAAGAACAAAGGCATCTGGCTGCCTAGACCAGAACGTAAGCTTCTGAAGATGACAGCCAAGAGAGGGAGGCAGGCAGGCAGACAAAGAGAATCGGGACCTTCTCCGCTTGGACTGCTCCTCCAACCAACTTTATGCTATAGATCACTTGTTTTAGAATTCTAAGCCACCTTGGCAACAGAGGCTGATTCCTTAGGGCAGAGGTTTTCAACCTTTGTGAGTCCATGGCTCCCTTGACCAACTACATTCTTTCTGCGGCTCCCCTGTGGGGCTCAGGAGCCCAGTTAGGTCCCCCTTGCCTGCAGAGCTGGCAGCCTCTCACCCTTTTTCAAACATTGTCCCTTGTGGAGTCCTCTCCTCCTCTCCTCTTTCTTTGGGAGTCCTCTGGGCAGTTGCAGCAGCCGCCCCGGTCTCTGAGCTGCTTGCCCCACCCCAAAGAGAGGTGCCTCCTCATACTGCCCCACAGGCCAGCCCCAGAAGCACCATTCGCCTGGGAAGCTTGTAGCCAGAGCTACAGCCACAAACAGCTGTGCAAGCCTTTGGGAGGCAGAGACGCAAGAGGGCATCAGAGGAGGGAGGGAAGGAAAGAGGGACAGAGGCCAGTGTTGCCCAGGGCAGCCCTGACCATCATTCAAGGCACCCCAGGGTGCCACGGCACACAGGTTGGAATCCACTGTCTTAGGGTGAACAGGGAACTGCCCCACCAACCCGTCTGCCGTCAGCCAGCCCCCAACTAGCCTGCCTTTCTACTTGCAACCAGTCTAAGGGGTGGTATCTGCTTCCTATGGCCCCAACCAGAGTTGCTCAGGGTCAAATGCTTCTCCAACATCTAACTTTTAGAGGCCCTGGAGCACTACATAACTTCTGTATTCTTCATACACGAGACTCTAACACTGCTGATGACTGTGGAAAACAGACAAGGAGTTGAATGCAGCAAGAGAGCGCTTAGGCGGCCACCGGCGGAGTCTTCCCAGCGTCTTTTTTCCAGAAGCAGAAATGCAGGCGGAAGATGCCAGAGCGCAAGAAAAAAGTACACCATTTGAGAGGCAAGGGACCAGGATGGGCCCCTGGGCTGGTTATGTCAATATACCGTTGGCCAGGTGGCTGTTCCCTCCGTGGCGAATAATGTCACTGAAACTCCGTTTCATTTTCTCATAGCAGGCAAAGTACAGGGCATGCGCTGGGCCTGCTCCCACCACAGTCACGTTGATCCCTCGCAGGGGTCTCCAGAAGCCTTCTGTCTGGATCATCTTCTTCAGGGCCTCAAACACACTTCTGTACTGGGCTTTGGGGTCAGGCTGCAAACTCTGCATCCGGGTCTAGAAAGAAAGAATTGAAGAAGCATGAGGAAAGCAGCCCTTGATGGCCCCCAGGATAAAGTTGAGGGCACCAGGTTCTGCCATTGAGCTTTTTTATCTAATCTAATCTATGCATTTTTGCACTCAAGTGCCACAAAGGCAGCCACACCGATAAAACAAAGCCATTACACTCAGCAGCAAAACCAAACAGAATAAAACTACTCAACTGACAGTGCATTTGAAAGGAAAAGCACTACCTAGTCCACTTGAAAGAGGATCGCAGCAAAGATTGCCATCTCTAGCTACCTTCCTAGTTAAACACAACACGCCTGGGTGAATAAGAAAGGTTTTGCCTGGTGCCTAAAAACAGCCAGTGACTGTGCCAGGCATGCCCTCCCGGGGGGAGCATTCCCCAAACAGGAAGCAATCACGGAACAGGCCCCTTATTGAGTTGGCATATGAAGCTGGGACTCAGACAATGTCCAGGTTGGTTCATGTGGGACGAGGCAGTCCTGGAGGAGCTATGAACTCCTAATCTGTGGAGACCCGTTTTAAAAATGAACAAATAAGCCAAGGAACCTTACACACAGGCTCCAACAGCGCGCCAGCAGGGGGCGCTATAACTCAGCCAAACAGGATAGCACTCTCTCCCCACAAAACCCAGACCCTGAGAACTTTATTGCTGTTACTCTCAATACAACAGAAGCTGAGAAGGAGAACTGTATGTACTTGCCTCGCATGTCTCAGTAATGAGCACCCACTTTAAACAAGAGTAGAAATGAGTAGGACAAAGCAAGAGCCTTCTGTGGTTTCAGAGACACATTATTCTGGACCCATCGTGCAAAAGCCAATTTTAATTTGTGCTGTAAAGATAATCATGCTGGGAAACGGTTTGGGGTAGAAGCAGCACAAGATCAAGTACCAGGGCTAAGTGACAAACTATAAATTAACATCATCAGATCTAGTTGGCACAGATATGAAATTGTTGCTCCTCCAACAAAATGTGCAATCTTCACTCAAACTACCCTCTTGTAAGACAGCAAACCTGGCACCATTTTTAAAAAGGAATCTGGGGGAGCTCGGAAGTTTCAGATCCTTTTACTTGGCTTCTGTCCCAGGTAAACTGGCCGAAAGCTTGCACTAAAGCTGGAATCATTAAAATGAAGAGCAGGCTTTGGCAAGAAAGAATCAGCACGACTTCCAAACAGGAAGCTTATCCTACCTAGCATTCGTTGAGGCCACACCTTGATGAAAGCAAAAGATAAAAACCCCACGGCCCGCCTAATTACTATATATGAATTTTGGAAAAGACTGAAATATTATGAGAATTGAAATTTGTATTCCCCCCCTACTTATATTGAACACATTTTGGGGGGAAACCCTGACACCCCCACCCAAGTATTTATATATGCCTACCTGGTTGAGAAACACCTATCTAAAATCAAGGATTGCTACAGAGGAGCTTATCCCAACCTACACTCTGCACACACCCCAGAATTACATTATTATTATTATTATTATTATTATTATTATCAGTATTGTCATTATTTTGCTCAGCAGGTGGCAGTGCACTGAGCACAGAACACAGAGAAAAAGCAAGTCTGGGTGCTGACTGCATGTATCATGCACCAGTTACTGTCAGAGTAGGACCTGGGAGACCAGTGTCCGAATCCCCACTCAGCTGTGAAGCTCACTGGGTGCCCTTGCGCCAGTTGCTCACTCTCTGCCTAGCCTACAGGGAATAAATGAGGAGGGGGAGAAGCATGTATGCCACCTTGAGCTCCTTGGAGAAAAAGCTGCAGTGTAAATTAGCCCCAGAGAGCAAAAACAAATCCTTGTATTGTATTGTATTGTATTGTGGCATCCACAGTGACTCAGCAATCAAAGCTATTGTTCTGGAGTGTCCTCTCTGTCCAGGCCTGAGCTCAAACATATGAAAATAATTGTGAGATTACAGCTAGCACAAAAGCTAAGCCTGAAGTGTGATGCAGCTGCAAAAGGCAACAGGCACATGTGATTCAAAGTAAAAAGAACCACATTTCCAAGCCATGAGAATCAATGGTGTCACTTTATTCCGCACTAGCTACACCTCCTCTGGCACACGATGTATCCCTCTGGTGCCACACTTTCTAAAAAAGTATAGTCTGGGTGTCCAACCTGAGGCCCTTGAGTTGTTTCTGAACTTCAACTTCCACCAGCCCAGCCGTCAGTCAGGGATGATGGGAGTTGTGGTTCAGCATTACCTGGAGAGCTACAGGTTCCCCATTTCTGAAACAGAGAAAGTGGAAAGGGTTCAGGAAGAAGACCATGAAGATGGTCAGAGGTATAAAAATAAGTCCTTAGATTGTGGAGGGTGGAAACATGCTAGAACTCTTCAAATCCTCCAACAGTGATCACACAGAAGAGGACACATCCGCACCATACATTTAAAGCACATCCACACCACTTTAACAGTTCATTTATCAAGGAGCTACAGTTTGCAGCAGCCTACAAACTACAGTTCCCAGGATTCTTTGAGGGAAAGCCATTCTCAAGTCCACCCACCTCACCCAAAAACCCTATGATTCAAATGCTAATTATCGCATTAGTGCTTTTTGGAATCTGTGTCAAGCGCATGATCATGACATTGAGCATCTCAGGACAGCGAGACTCTGGGATGCAATTCAAGCTACTTGGCTGGAAGGAAGAACCAATGCTGCCAGTGCAGACTGGACTTGTCCCAACAGCCTAATGTCAGCCTGAGCAATGCAGATCACTGTCATTCTGTGCAAATGATCATTAGCTCTCGCTTCCCTGCTCATTAAACATGTCTGAAAATGTACCTGCTCTCAAAGCTTGCAAGTTTTGTGTGCATGTGCTAATGATGTTCCACCAAGGTACAGCCAAAAGGTATACAGTCAGGCTATGCCATGGTCTCAGGTGCTCCAGCTCTTTAGTGGCAAAGCTAGGAACTCACTAGCCAGTCAAGAAATCTCCACCTTGCTGTTTTAATTGCTTAAGGCAATGCTTAATAGTCACCTGGATTGTTTCTACTGGTTCAGGCCTGGGCTGTTTAAGCTGCCGTGAAATCAAAGCGGAGGCCCAGCAAGTCTACTCAAGCCCCACAGAGCTGCTTGCTTGCGTCTCTCCTTTGAAGAACGGCATTCCAACCTGGAGCACAAAACCACTCTGAGCGGCAGGACACCATCTCTCGCTCTGCAGTCTCACAGCTCTGCCTCAGCGAGAAGAGGGGGTTCCCACCACTTTGCCACTGTCAACAGCAAGGTGCAAATCCAGGCTTCCTTACTAACACAAGTACAGCAAATCCCACTTCAACACAACCACCTATTTTCAAGGATGAAAAAGGGATGCAATTCTAATCCCAGAAGATTGTCTCATTTGCTGCAAAGAAAAATGCAAGAGAAGAATTACAGCGGATAAACACCAATTTGCCAGCTGCCAAAAAACTTGAGATTGGCCAATCATGTGATGAACACATAACCAGCCTTGGCACAGCCTTCCTAGAAGCAATTAAAGGAACTGTGTACTTATATCACATTTGCGTTTATATCACATTTGCATGTATTTATGTATTTATTTATTCATTTATTCCATTTATCTCCCAACCTGCCTCCCAAAGGGGCTTGGGCCAGCAATCTGGAAAGCAGACAAAAGCCATACCGATGACAATGTGCTTCTCCAAGTCAATTTCAAGCAGTACTTTTTTCAGGGGGTACTTTAGGGTACACAGCACTGACACCTCTTTTTTGGTTGCTGTTAAAAAGTGTGGCACTTACTGTAACAACTTCTAGTGTCTATTGTATGAGGCAAACATGCTTGTCATTAATGCCTCCCAAAGCAGGCAAAGTAGTTTTAGGAGACTGATCTTGAAGATCTTACACACACTCTTATATTATTAATAATTGCTTGATAATAATATTGCAGAAAATAGATAGAATCTATAATGTTAGTTTCAGGTGTTGAGATGCTCCTGAAAGGTCAGACTTCTGCTCTAGGATTTCCATGTCTTCCCCTGCCCTGTAGAATCCCCCCTGTTGAGATATAAAGAGTGGGACACACTCTTTATACTTCCTGGAAACAACTGAAGATGTTTTTGTTTCCAGAAGCTTTTCCTAACATACGTGAAACCAACTTTATTATGGCACTTGTAAAAAAGGCTGCAGCCGGGGAGCAGCACTGGAACCCCCGGAGAGCCAGTGCCTGCCAGAAAAGTCAATCCTGAGCTACAAGGTCCAATTGCCTGACTCTAGACAAGCTCCTATGGGGACCCACCTAGGGTCATATTGTCAAAGGAAAGAAAGAGACAAGGAAAGAAAGTTGTGCATCGCAAGGACATAAAAAATAACACCCATCTTTAATAAGCATGTTTTCATACCCTGAAGTGCTCCAAACATTGGTCTGGAGACTGCCCTTTTAGATAAAATAGAAAGTGAAGCCACGATTACCAGGTTTATCACAGCCTGACAGATATAGAGGCAACAACAGAATTATGTAAGATGTCTTAGGGCCAGTTTTTTTGGGGGGGGAGGTCCAGTCCGAGAATGGATTTATTTTGAGGATTTGTGAGTGTTGGGCTTTGCTTCCTTTTACACTCACAACAAAAACTTGTTAACTAAGCCCGTAATACAAAGCCAGATCACTTTCCAGGGATAGCTGGTCCAAGGGATAAATGCAAAGGGGGAAATGGAGCAGGGACATTTTTGAAATATTTGAGCACCACACCCAGTTTAGTCACAAGGAGGTTTATGTAAAATGAATCCTTCAGCTTGTTTACACTAT